TAAAATATATATTTTTATATATATATTTTTTTATATATATATATTAATATATTATAATATTTTTTATTTAATATATATTTTAATAAAATTTTATTAATTTATACAGGAGGGCCCCCATTATATGGGGGGTTGGTTCCAGGCAAACCGCCTTTTTAAAGGGGAAAACCCCCCCGGAAAAGGGAAAACCCCCTTTTTTTTCCACTTAAAAAGCTTTCAAACATAGTTTAACAATTTTAAAACTAACATATTTTAAATTTTAGAAATAAAAACCAGGCATAAAAAAAAAACAATAAAAAAGTACAAAAAACACTTTAGTGCCTCTTTTACTTCCCTTTTAAAATATAGGGGAGATGAGTGTATTTATTTTTAAAAAACAAGTGTGGTATGTTGGTAGTCACCCCGGGGGTACCTTTACCGGGCCCCACCCCACCCACCAATTACTTTTATAAATATTTAAGTCCCGACCCGATAAAATGTATATACATTTTCACTCATTCTTCCCTTAAAAAATATAGGGTGAGATGGGGTAGTATTTATTTTTAAAAAATTATGTGTGGCTGTTTGGTAGTCAGCCAGGCTCCCTACCGGGCCCAACCCCACCCCCCACATACATTCTTTGATTTTTTAAGAATCCCAGAGCGAAAAAAATTTTAATACAGTTCATCATACTTCCCTTAAAATATAGGGTGAGATGAGTAGTATTTATTTTAAAAAATAAGTGTGGTTTTGTTTGGTAGTCAGCCGGGGAAACCATCCCCAGAGAAAAAGAAGAGTGCATGAGAGAGGACGGGGTGCAGATTTTATGTAAAAAAACCAGGCAAAAGGTAAGTTTTGAAAACATTTGTAACTTTTGGTTTGTGTAAAAGGGGTTACATTGTTTTACAGGTTTGGTTTACTTTGAACGGTGGGAATAAATAAAGAAGAACACTCCCATTTTTTGTAACATCATTTTGAGAAAAAAAATGATGTTTGGGTTGAAGGCAAAGGAAAGTAAGTCACTTGATTTTTTTGGGGGTTACCCTTTGGTTCTTACACTTATTTTGGGTTTTGTTTTTATGTTATGTATCGTGTTTATTATAAAAATTTTGAAAAAAAATACAGGGAATGGATTAATGAAAATGTGTATTTTAAACGTAATATAAACATTTAATGATTTCACCGAGCTCAGAAGCGGGTTTAAAAAACAAACTGAAAAAAGGGGTTTTTTGGCGATCACTCGGGCAGGCGAAATAGACGGTATTAATACATGTCCAGTTTTAGTTATTCTGTACATTTGTTAAAAGGGTTTTTTGAAACCCTTTTCCTTTTTAAAATTTTTATTTTTATTATAATAATTAAATCACGAAAAAAAATCCCCTTACACTGTGTACAAGGGTTTGTAAAAGAATTATAGTATAAAATGAAGGCTTTCGGGAAAAGGGAAAATTTTTTTTTACAGTTTTTCCCCAGTAACAGGTTTAGGGAAGGAAAGCGTAATTCTTCCGACACTTCTACAAAACCCTTTGGTTTAAACCCCTTTTTTATTAAAATTTGTTAAATTTTTTCTGGGGGGTTTTATGTATATGTTTTTTTTGTTACATAAAGTTTTTATTTTAAATTTTTAAAAAAAAAAAAAAGATAGATTAAGGGAAATGTCTATATTAACGTTTAATTTTGCGCATTAATGCGCCCAAGAGAAATTTTATTATTTTATTTATTATTATTATTAAATTTTTATTATTATTATTATTATTATTATTTTATTTGCATCAAGAGTAGAGAGACTTTGTGATTTTAAGGGTACCCCCATGCCGACAGAGTGTAGGTTTATTTAGGGAGGGGTGTACACAAGTTTAATTATTTAAGTAAATACATAAAAAAATAAAACAAAAATTTAAAACACTTTAAAATTTTTGGGAAAAATTTTTGAAATAATAAGGGGATGTGCTCAGGGAATGTAAAAAAATCGGTGGGCAGCTGGGGACCGTATTTAAAAGACAGGTGGGGGGCCTTTTATAGCGAGTTTTGGTCATAATTTGAAATGTCCCTATTAGCGGAAACGCCGGAAACGAACGCCCTTTAAAAGCGGGGCCCTGTGTTTTATATATAAAATTTTTTTTTTAAATTTTTAATTTTTATATATAAAAATAAAAATATTATTTTTTTATATATATATATATATATATATATATATATATATATATTAATATATATTAATATATATTATATATTATATATATATATATATATATATATATATTATATATAAATTATATATATATATTTTTATATATATATATATTATATATATATTATATATATATAAATTATATATATATATATATATATATATATATATTATATATATATATATATATATATATTATATATATATATATATTATATATATATATATATATATATTTATTAAAAAATTTTTATATATATATATTATATATATATTAATATATATTATATATATTATATATATATATATATATATATATATATATATATATATATATATATATATATTATATATATATATATATATATATATTATAATATTTATTATATATATATATATATATATATATATATATATAAAATATATATAATTATATATATTATATATTTTATATATAAACTTTTTATGTATATATCCTTGTTACTACAGGATAATCTTATCAGTTTTTGTGATTGTTTTATTTTTAATTAATTACGGAAATCATATTCATTTAACATTAACTTAACCTAACCTAACCTAACCTCATCTAACATAACCTAACCTCAACAACCTTAAAATATTATTAAATTAACTTGTTATAAAACTTTAACCTAATAGGTAGATCTCATTGTAACAGTGACTGAGCTAACAGTATGAATCAGTGTTTAGATCATGCAATAACGTATACATTATTTACGTCGTGCACTAATGTACGCATTGTTGACATCATGCACTAACGTATGCATTATTTGCATCGTGCATTGTTATACACAATGAAGTGCACTGGAAAACATTGTTGTTACTGGGATGAGTTGCAACATAGCTTTCAACATGAAAAATAGTCCATATAACACTAAGGGTGTTGATGCAGCTTGGTACATATGATGTATATGCAACACAAGGCATATAATATATTTCATGTGCAACACACTGGATGCATCTATTGTATAATGCATTATATGTATATACGACAACATAACACAGAGGGTATATATGCAACACAACATATAGGGTGTATATATGATACAATACACTGGATTCTTGTACAACATAATGCAGTGGATGCATTCAGATCATACACTGAATGTATAACATCATTATACATTGGGTGTTTATACACTACTACATATGGGATGTGCATATACAACACACCACACAGTGTATATTCAATGCATCACATTCACTGTATATACGAAACAAGTGGTATTTACTATACAACATGGTATGCATGGCATACACTATAGAACCCCAACTTATGATGTTCCGCATGGCAAATATTTTTCACTTAATTCAGTGGCATTCTGCAACCACTTAAATACTTATGAACAAGTGACTCACACTTATAAAGTTAGGGAGCACTTATAAACCCAAAATAAGGGAAAAATACCCATCCCAGTGAGCAGTATGACACAAGAAAAGATCAACATTTGGGATCAGTACTGTACACAAAGTTGTGCTAATTATTTAATTTAGTGCAGTATTTAAGTAATACGTAAACATCACAGAAGTAGTGTTTTGTTGTATATGCATTTGAGAAAGCATATTGAAAATCAGTGACTGGGTAAAAATTCTTGTGGGGGAAAAATTAAATGAAAGTAGATAAGGGAAATTAGGGTTCAGGAACGCATCAATCTAGTTTACATTGTTTCTTATGGAAAAATTGGTTCCAAGTACAAATTTTCGACTTGCAATGAATTTTTAGGAACGTCGTACATTGGGGATCTACTGTAATGCCGATCTATGACGACTACAACACATACGTGAAATAAAGAAGAAAAAGGCACAATACCATGACTGGAACAGTACACAAATAACCCGCACATAGGAGAGAGAGGTTTATGACAATGCTTCAGTCCAACAGTCAAAGACAGACCGGAGCGTTATCATAAGCTTTTTTCTGTCCTGTGTATGGGTTATTTGCATACATAAAATGTCACCTAATTAATGTAGAATACACTGTATGTTTGCTACACAGTGTATTACATAAATTATTAAAGTAGATAACATACCAGAATGGGTGTATACCATACAAGACACAAGGTATACACCACAGTGGGTGTATACCAAACAAGACACAAGGTATACACCTCAGTATGCCCTTCACTGCTGCTCCTTATCAGTCAGTATTTTCACTGCCACGGTTGGTATTAGCATATACCAGCGGTGCTCCACACTACTGTTCCGTCTACTAGATCTAACACTTCACTACCCTCCAAAATTTTATATAGTGGCTAAAAAAAAAGGAGTATGAGGACAACGATAAATTTACAAAAAAAAAAAATATTCAGATTTTTAGCCACTGTTTGTATTAAAAATTGGATTTGAGGATATTTTTTATCAAGATCTCTTGTAGTTTATAGGCCTCAGACTGGTCACTCTTATTTCTTGTGAGATGCAGTGCTGTAATTACTGGTTTCAAAATAATAACAAGGAGAGTTTTTTTTTTTGGCTAAAAGTGACGGTAGTTGACAATGGTCATAGTTAATGCTCATGATTAATGTGATGATAATTGTTCTTATATTACTCAAGACGGATGAATTGTCTCTTATTTTGCATGTGGCGTGCCTGTACACCTCCTAGATGAATTTATTAATATTTCCTAATTTAAATCAGCACTATTCTCATATCTTTCTTCCTGTTATTTGTAAATTCATATGTACCACACTTTAAAAGTAGAGCCTTATCATATAAATAAAAAATATTAGAATCTCCCCTTAAAATATCCAAAGAAAATTGTCAACTTCGTGATAAGAGAAAATGGTTTATTCTAATTTTATATGGACTACTACTCTAGGTACCGGAGGCAAGAAGAACCGACAGAAGGAGAGAAGACTCATGAAAGGATTCAACCTGGGCGTTAACTCTATAAGTACTAGCCTCAGTCTAGGAACTTCGATGGTCCTGCCTGCGACGGTGGAGGTAAGAAACGCGACCTGAGGAAGGTTTGTGACATAATGCGACGGAAGTGGTATACTTACGCATGCTATCTCGCAGGTCTCACTTGAATCACTATATGGCTAAATATCGATATATTATAGATCCCCCAATAACACTTACTAAATAATTCCAAACATAATTTTCTTTCAGAATAACCACCTCACATATTAAGATTGTAAGTAAAGCTATGATTCCCCATTCAATAATAACAAATCTGAAATCCCTCAATCAAATTGCTGTTTATGTCATCTCTCCTCTCACACCACCACCACCGTCGAGCCTCCCACGAGTGTTTACTGTCGCTCCCCTAAGCCAAGGTGCCGCAATTTATATTGTTAATGTGTATGTCTGCAGGCAGGCAGGTGGGGCAAGGTCTAGCCCACACCCCACTAATCTATCCTCTACCAGTGGAGATGTGCCCAGCTTAATGCCTCACCCACTAACAACTCCCTCAACCAACCCTTCTACCCATAGCAGCTACCTTTCCTCTCTGTGTCATTTTTTTTATTAGTGTTCTTATGTCGCAAGATTTTATACTTAATTTTCACTGTGTGCGTGTGTGTGTGTGAAATATGGATATAGTGATCACTGCATCTCTTTCAACAGAAGATATATATATATATATATATTGAAACAATCATTTATTTTGAGGTGGGAGTTTTGTCTTGTTCTTGGCTGTGTGTGGGCCATGTGCCCCGGATGACCTGTATGCCCTGGTCTCTGCAGGTGGCGGAGGTCGCCGTCAAGCGATCCCCGCAAAACAAACTTGCGCGGCTGGCGCGACTGGCGGAGGCACGGCTGGGTCGCCCGACCAACAAGAAGCGTTGGGGCACGCTAGTCGAGGCCGCTAAGAATGCCAAAGTAAAAAAGTTATTATCCAGGTCCCGCTCCGACGAGTCGCTCTCCTCCGATCCTGGCAACGAGATCAACGGGGATTCAGAGGACGCTCGCTGTGGAGCCGAGATCCCGACGCCCCTGCAAAACCTGCCACCGGGAATTCTCAGGGGAGGTGACGCCTCGCTGGAGGGGACAAGACAAGAGCGGCCCGGGTCAGGGGTGAGCAGCAGGATGCGCCTGGACGCTGCAGCATTAGTGAGCCAACAACACGACACTACCAAGAGGCCGCCCAAGAACTCTGTGAGCTTTGATCAGTCGGTAGTAGCAGGCGCCAGTAGCAGTAGTCCTTCCCACTCATCCACTGAGACGGAGCCTCCCCCACCCTATCCACAGTGGCCTCGGTTAGTCACCACTTCCACCAACGTCACAGAGCCTACTCCTGCTGCCACCTCGCCCTCGTCAGGCAGTGGATCTCTACCACCCTTGGCCGTGAGCGAATCCTCGGAGCCTCTGGTGTTAGGTGGACCCCCAGCCAACGGGTCGGTACAGCAGCCACGCCTGCCTGGCATCCAGCCAGTTAACCGCCACATGGCTGCTGGGTGGCTCTGATCCTCACCCGATACCTGTCTCCATGACTTCTTTACCAAGGTAAATCTGACCTACCTACTTGCTGCTTCACTGGTTGCCTTCAAGAAAGTTTTAAATAAATTTATGCAGTTTTGTCCATCATGAAGGGGTCAGGTGGCGATAAAGATTGTAATGAAATTATTTGTACAATGTTTCACCCAACATTTGGCTTTTTAAGCGTTGGAAAGATATAGAAAAATCTGTTCTGAATGAATTTATTATTATTATAATCAAAAAGAAGCGCTAAGCCACAAGGACTATACAGCTGTTCTGGATGAAATGTTGTACAAATGAAGACCTTCAATGCAGTTGTCTTTTTATTATGGAGTCTTTTCAATATGGTGTCCCGTAGTTCGATCGCTAGCGCACTCAGCTCACACACTGAGGTCCGGAGTTCGAATCTCCGGTACGGCTGGAAAACGCTAGGACGTGTTTTCATATGTCGTAATGTTTGCAAGACAGTAGCACATCGTTCGTCTAGGCTTAAATAATAGTCCATTAAATATTGGTCTATTACAATTTATTTTTTGCGTTATCAATTCTACAATTTAGCCATTAGCATTTATTTTACTCTAGGTAGGCTCTTTCTTATAAGATCCACCCACTACTCTCTACTTTAGATTTTATCTCTGTAAAAGAAAAAATGCCTTTCTAATTACTATATGACCTCCACTGGTTAGAAGCATATTTTTGTGTATAATATTAATAAAAATAATACGTTTCATTGTTCAAGTTTTCATTATGTATTTATTGAACTACACAGAGTTCATTAAACTTGAGAAGAAACACTGTTTACCCTTCCTTTATAATCTGTGTATTTAAAACCTTAAACAAAGATTCCTCACTTTTGAGGAGACCCAAAATATTGTTGTCTATTAGAAGGTCAACACCTTCAAAAGTTAAATCTTCTGTAATACCTACAGACAGGTAACAACAAAAAATTATGACACAGAGATGTTTGTTTTGATGTATATACGACAAGAGTTGTGTAAGTTTTCTTGATTATAAATGTACAGGTAACTTGCAGACTTAATTACCAACATTAAGTTCAGATGTCTTAAACATAAGAAATTAGCTAAACCATGTTGGTTGTACTGACTCTGGTATTTCCCATTATAGGTTAAAACCCTTCTGGACCAGCAGCATCACTACACGCGCCCTCATCAACAACCATCTGTAAATAAGTCGAAAATCACCTTTACATCCACACTGGCAACCTGACAAGTGACTCCAGCCGACGTACCCTGCTACTGAGGCTCTCACTCCCTTGTCACCACCAGCATCCAAGGCTGGAGGAGAGGGCTGGATGACTTCATCTCCTCGGTACAGAGGTCACACTTGTCTGTCGGATTCCAGCACAGCCTCACCTTCATATACCAGAAAACAAGAGAAAACTGGTGGGATGGAAGGTCATTCCTTGTTCGTTCTGTGAGTTTATATATTGTTAATGAAAGTGGCTACGTTCTTTTATAAAAAAAAAAAAAGTTGTGAAAAGATGTAATAAAACTATATGAAACATTTATCGGACCTTATTTGTTTGATTATATATATATATACATACATATATATATATATATATATATATATATATATATATATATATATATATATATATATATATATATATTATATATATATATATATATATATATATATATAAGGTTTGTGCTGAGGTGTTTTTAAATCAGTAGGTTATTGTTGCTAATACTGAAGATTTTTATGAAATATATTTTGTTGTCTGGATTCTTCCTTCATAATAACGTGGGACTGTCTGGGGAGCTCATTGAAGGTTAAACGTAAAAGAAAGTAGGTTACAGTGGCACAGATAAAGTGAACAGTGAGAAGAAAATGTGATATTGGCAGAAATTGTGCAGTCATGGATCATGGCTTACAGAGACCATAAAATTGTATTAGTGTATGGAAAACGATGGACGAGAAGAAAACAGCACAGTGAGAGTAGGTAACAGTGTTCACTAACAGAAAATAGTTCTGTGTACGCAGAAAAACTATTCATAGCATCAGAGCACTGTGTAAGATGACCAGGAAACGATGAATGGCAGAAGAAAATGGACAAGGAGAGTGGGAAACAAGACGAGGCAACAAAGAAAAGGTGTAAGGAGATAAAAGAATGAGGAACGGCAACATAAAACCGCGTAATGAGAGTTGGAAATGAGACACTTGACGAAAACAGTGTAAGATGAGGACAAAATGAGACACAGCAACTGGATATGTACAAGAGGAGTACTTCAAAGCTCCTGGGACTCCAAACAAGTCACCACAGTGATCCCTAACCTATATTAAATGTCCATGTTTCCACGTATATCAGAAAGTTAGACATAAACATAAAGAACATTAAATAAAACACGGGTTGACATGTATATAATGAAATCTTGAAGTGATTTTTTATAACTGAACATGTCTGTATATCCTAGTGATGGACAACTGCAAAAAAAATGTTTATCGTTAGCAGACACCTGAAAAGTTATATATATATATATATATTATATATATATATATATATATATATATATATATATATATATATATATATTATATATATATATATATATATATATATATATAAGTGTGTGTGTGTGTGCTTCTTATATTAACATCTTTTTTAAGAGACCTATTCCTTCATTGCGGTTGGTGCTATTTATAATATATATATATATATATATATATATATATATATATATATATATATATATATATATATATATATATATATATATATATATATATATATATATATATATATATATGTCGTGCCGAATAGGTAAAACTTGCAATTTTGGCTTAAATATCAACGTTCTCCTTGCCGAATAAAGCAAGCGAAAATTTGTGTATGCAATAATTTCGCAAAAAAAAAAAAATCACTGTGAACCTAACGAGAAAAATATATTTCATTGTGTTTGTTTATTATTAAATTATTGAATACTTGTCTAGAATATATCTAGGTGGATTAGGATAAATTAAATTGCGCTTGTTATAGTAAGGTTAGGTAAGTTTTCTAAGGTTCTTTTGGTACAAAATTATTAATTTTGACATTAACATAAATTAAAAATATATATTTTTAAACATATAAGAAAAAATTTGCTAACTGACCAATTTTATCTATTCGGCACGACATGGGTATATATATATATATTATTATATATATATATATATATATATATATATATATATATATATATATAATATATATATATATTATATATATATATATATATTTGGAAATGTTGTAGAAGACCCTATTTTTGTTATGATTAAGCCAAACATTCTGGTAAACTGTTCATTATTACAATAAGGAAAACATTGTAGATGGACAGTGACCTACTTCACTTGTTTTCATGACCTGCCACATCAGGCCATCTTGTTTCTTACTCTGTAAAACAAAAACACAAGTGAGGTCAAAATAATTACATCATCTAGTTGATACCGATCTAATAATCACATATTCTCGTCGTTACATTGGTAATCGTTGATTGTTTGGCACTATAACGAAGAGAGTCTCGGCTGGCCCTCAAGGGGAGACAGGTTCACCCCTCACTCTCTTCTGTGTTGCTTCAATCCTTCACAACTAAAGGTAATCTAAGCCTCTTCTCTCCAGATCCCTTCTTACTATTGTTGTTTTGTTCCCTACGAATGTTTTCAACCTGTGTGACTTCATCAGGTGCTTGGTTACTAAGTGGTGAATCTTTGTTCTTTATTAAGATTGAGATACATTGGTTACGTACCCATGACTATATAGAACAGGTAAGCCGGCGGTTTCTTAATCACGACTAAAATGAACTGGTGTGGCAACAGGTGCTTCTTCAGTCAGCTGAGTCAAGAATGACCCGTGTCATTAGACGTTTTTCTGACGAATAAAATACCACTGTCAGATGGCAGGTCGTTGGTTCTAACACTGTCACATACCACATACACATTTAAGGTCAACAGGTTAAGTCACCGCCCAGTCGTGTGGTCGACCTTCAGAATCATCAAGGTCTGATACTGACTCTTACCTTCTAATTGCCCTTCTGAAAACAGACTTTTTTTAAACAAAATAATGCTGAATTTCCCAAGGGATGGGTAGAGGAGCTAAGCCTTATTGGTGTGGATGAATTTTACATTTCATTGGTCTTGTTATTATCCTCATCTGATAATTTAAATGACACCATTAATATCTACTGTATATATTTCCCCCATCTCTTATTTTGCAACGAACACTTATTAATGTAACCTATAAACTGGTATCATGTTGTCAGGTGTAAAATTATCACTTTTTTTGTATTACCATATAGCTTGTATTCATATACTGAGAACACAGATGTATAAATATATAATATAATGCCTTGATATAAGCGTGGGTAAGGACAATCTTCAGAAGCTGACAACAGAATTGGTACAATGGCAGATGGTTAATACCTCTGGGGCCACTAGGCTCAACTATCATTTATATGGTGTTATATTGGTCGAGGTCGCACCTTCTGCAAGATAATGATGTATAGCTGGCGATGTATAATTGCTGGCGATGTATAGGTGGTTGTTGAAAGCTCTGGTTTTCTTACAACCACCTCTGCCCACCATATTTTTCTATAACGTTTGATATAATGCAGCACTCTGGTGGTAATGGTGTCTCGCTCCTACATCCATCACAGTCTCGTGTGTCTAGCGGGCGAAACGTTCGTCACGGAGTCAACGCTTTTTCACTGAATACCCGAGGTAAAAGCCCCCACAGGATCACACACCTGGCAGACCTCGATGTTTCTACCTTCGTTCAGCGTTTTAGTCAATAAGGTTCACTACATCTACTTAGTCAAATGTTTCGTGTCCGAAATAAAAAGGAACTTATGATGTTTAATTCTTTTAATAATGACGTTAATACTTTCTGCCTTGATTAAATGTGAAGCGATATTAACCTCAGTGACAAAGAACACTACAGTGAAAATACGTTCAGTAGGATTACCTCTTACTTTGTTACCATCAATAAGTTTTAGACATATTTATTGCTAATGTTTCTAATAGTTTATGCATTTATTTTCGTGAGTTTGTGTATTTATTCACTTCTAAGTTTAACTAGCTATTATTCTAGTCAATTTATGTACACGCGTTACTGTTGAAGATTCACACAAGTATTCACGCCCACTCACAACTTCCCCGCCCATCCACACCCACTCTCGGTATAATACAACTACTCACAACCTCACATACACCCACTGCGGGCCTCGCAGAACACCTACACCCTCGTGCACCTGTCCACACCCTCACACACCTGCCCACACCCTCACACACCTGCTCACACCCTCACACACCTGCCCACACCCTCACACAGCTGCCCACACTATCAAGTCAGTTGCTGCACACCTTGTTCATCTACCGACCAGGATTGTTGTATTTTTCATCTGAACAAATTTCACTGTTTTCTGGTTACGTGTTTACCTTTCGGTTAATAATTCTCTGTAGAATTATCAGTTATTTAGTCATGCAGTGTACACATGGTGGGGTGTAATTCATACATCAGACTTTCACAATATGTAAAATTACCTAATTTGCTTATATATATTTGAGACTGTGTGTTGTATATTGTGACCATTATTTCTTGCTCTGTTGAAAAATATTTTGGAAAGAATAAGTAGATGGCTTGTCATGAATGTAACCCTTTCACACACACACACACACACACACACACACACACACACACACACACACACACACACGCACACACTAGTCATTTATTTACACTGTACAAAATGGAAAGTTATCAACAATTATAGTACAATATGTAGAATGGTTGTACATCAATGTGGGACAATTGTACAGTGAGAGTTCATAAGAGCGGGACACTATGAAACTATTACACACTGGGACACATTACGAGTGTACCATCTTGGAACAACTGTACAGCAGTGTTGTGGTACTCTGGGGTATTTGGACAATGACTCAGTCATATAGAAAGTAACAATTAAAATCATAATAACGTGGCTGGAACAATTCACAAATAATCTTCACTAATTGTTGATTGGGAATTGTCATTATGTTACTGCTGCCAATTCATCATTAACTCATCATTGCCATTAATGAATCATTGCCATTTCTGAATCATATTCACTACTGAGTCCAGAATCACCATAAATAACCCAACATCTTACTTATAAAATTAAAGCATTACACTCGCTCATTAGTCACTGTCATTATATCTCCACTGCATTAACACTGTCATTATATCCCCACTGCATTAACACTTTCATTATATTCCCACTGCATTAACACTGTCACTATATCCCCACTGCATTAACACTGTCATTATATCCCCACTGCATCAACACTGTCATTATATCCGCACTGCATTAACACTGTCATTATATTCCCACTGCATTAACACTGTCATTATATCCCCACTGCATTAACACTTATGATATCCCCACTGCATTAACACTTATTATATCCCCACTGCATTCAAACTGTTATTACACCTCCACTGCATTAACACTGTAATTATATCCCCACTGCATTAACACGGTTATTACATC